GTTGCCACACAAAGTGACGGAATATAGGGATTTGGTAGGTTTCCATTCTAAAGGCTTTTTAATAAATATGGCAACATTTTGTGACGTTTCATCATTGCTGACGCGTAGTGAAGTGTTTTGAGAGTCATGTGAAGGCAACAAAACTTACGTAATGCATACAGTTTTTTTATAGTTTTTCATTTCTTGATGCGTCCTTAATGTGTCGGAATATACCGCGTTTACCCTATGATCTTTTGCAGAGTTTTGCTGTTTTGGTCCTTGTCCTTCAAATTCAGAATTTAGCTAGGCTAATACACTAATTTTAATCCTGGTTGAACCAATTCCTAGTTTAACAATGCACCAAGTAAACATAATTGTGATAGGTATACATATTTCAAAGTTAAATATAGAATCCTATTTCCTACTAAAAAATTAAAAATCTAGCTTGATAAAAAAGGCAAATACTTTCTAAATTTGCATCTAGCTACTGTGTGCATCCCAGGGCGCAGAAGTTGGAAACAGCGTCGCCAATATATGGGGTTTTGAGCCCAAAGCGTCACCGACCATTTTTAAGATGTGTCGCCGGGTAATTTTTAATGAAAAGCCATTTACGCTGAGTAATGACAAACTATTTACAAGCCACGAACTTATTTAGTTACAAGGTTGCAGGCATGGAATATATCTACTTGGCAAGCCGCGACTGAATTTTTTGAGCCGTGATTTTATGGATTTGCCAGCCGTGATTCCATTTCTACGAGCCATGATTCCATTTCACCGAGCCGTGAGTTCCATATCTTGGCCATGAAAAGCCATTTACGAGGTGCAAATTTATTTACAAAGTCCATGCACGTGTTACCCCAAATCTCTAATTTTACCCTTAAACAGTCAAACGGCAACAATAAAATTTGTGTCTACTGTAAGTTCAGTACACGTTAATGCAGTCTGACCGCTTTGACATGACCGCAACTATGCGTGATCTTCAACAAAACGTTTTGTTGATTTGTTTACATTACAATGTTTATGTTTTTTCTGCAAGATATTTTTGGCGGGAACAGTAAAGCAATGCGGATTGCGGAAGTTGAAAATTTTATGAAATGACATGTTTGCGAAGTGCAAACCGCTATTTTTTAATCAAACAAAAATTTATGACATTCGAGCCGCGAGATTTCATACCTACTGAAATTATATGATATTTGAACCGCGATATTTCAGACAAAAATAGGACTTTTCCAGACTAGCAAGGTTGCATGCATGTGTTATCCCAAATAACTAATTTTACCCTAAAAACAGTCCGATTGTACAGCAAGTGTCAACTGAACATGTAATAAAGCAGTCTGACCGCTCTAATGTGACCGAAACTACGCAATCGAAAAAACCTTTACATTTTATTGCGGGAACTCATGGCAACTGATTTCCGGACAAGCTTCGCTGCATCGTAATCCATCCAACGTACCGAAACCTTACTTTTTTTCTAAATAGTTGGCCGAAGACTGAGAAATAAATTAAATGCAAGGATTTCAATCTAAATGTGTCAGCAAGATCTTCTGAAGGCGAAAATTTGGCTACTGAAGCGTCGCCAAAGATCTTGCAATATTCATCCACTCTCTGCACAGTGGTGTGCATCAAGTTCTAACAGTTGTTCAT